TTTGTGATGACCCGGATTACCATGAATTGCAACGATTGTCTTCACGTTATCACTCTTTGAAACCTTTCGGTCGCCAAAAGTGTCCACATATTCAACACTCACTGGCAGTCCATTCGTTGGACTCTTTCGATAAAGTGTTGGATTCTTTGCCTTCAATTCTTCATACAATTTACCACATGTTTTGAATTCAATTCTTTTAATCATATTCTCATTAATTGTCGAGAAATTCAAACATTTATTGAATTGAATTGTTTTTGAATTGAATTTATGCCGAAATACAATACATTTAAATGAATTCATTATTGAATTGTGAAAATTAAAAACAAAACTATTTTCTTCACTCAAATAGTTTGCAAAATGTAGAGAGAAATCATTGGTTTTGGGATTCAATCATATGATTGCATGAATGCTATTGAAAGACAACATGCATTCAAGGCTTGCCTCCAAAGCATTGGCAGCACTTCTCATGTGAAGACTGAGCACTCGTGAGGACTCAGTTTGTACTCAAAAATGTACTCAAACTGTACTCAATGTTCGTATAAATTATAACGAGAACATCAACCATAATATCTCCACTATTTTTCCCATTTTAAAAAGATTATCACAAATTATTCGCAATATTATTGCAATCAATAAAATCACACAAAAAAGTTTTCAAATTGTCTAAAGTTTATTTTTAAAAATTATTTATTAAAAAACATTTTAGAGTTTTGAACTTTTGATTATTTGTTAAATTGCTTATTTGCATTTAATTTTTGCTACAAATAAATAAATTTTAAACATTTAATAAATCAAATGTAATTCTCGGGTCAAGAAGTGAGTAAAAGATTGTCGATATGTTTGGACACAATCTGTGAAAATTTATTATAAGCGAAATGACCGCCACTTTTAAGTGTCACAACTTTGATCCAATTGTTGTGATCAGAATTGGATTCAATTGTATTGTCCGCATATACCGTACGGTCAGTCGGTTTAGCGCCTAATCTCTCAACAAATTTCTCAAAATTTTCTTTAGGGACGAGTTTATCGTTCTCTCCGTAAACAACAAGTGTTGGGATTTTCATTGACTTAAGAATATCTAATTTATGGTAAAATTCTTTGTTCACTACATAAGAGTGGACTAAAACAAAATATAGCACTTCATCGACACTGTTGAAAGTGATGGGCGCCCGACCTCTGCTTATCATATGAGGTTTGATTGCATCCATGAATGCGATCCCAAACTTATTTCTCGCAAAATTAGACAACAATTTGTTTACTTCGAAGAATCTGTCGGAAAGATATTGAGGAGAGAATATTCCCAACGATCTGATGGTCAGTTCCCGCGGCTATAGTCATGAAACGATACAAAAAATATATTGTATTAAATATGACTATTATTTTTATTTGCAAATTAAGTCTTACTTCAGACCATAACAGGGAATTCGGTTGAATTCCCGCCGAATGACTGATCAGACAATCAATTTTTGAGACATTAATGGCTCTTAAGAAGTCTCGTATGAATTGAGATCTTTCTTCGTTTGAGTGCCAGAAAGCCATTGACTGTCGGGTGAGACCAAAGTCAGGCATATTTGGGACAATCACTCGAACTGAAGACTCTTTACCACCAAAACTCTCATATAAGCCGCTATAGTGTTTGTGATGACCCGGATTACCATGAATTGCAACGATTGTCTTCACGTTATCACTCTTTGAAACCTTTCGATCACCAAAAGTGTCCACATATTCAACACTCACTGGCAGTCCATTCGTTGGACTCTTTCGATAAAGTCTTGGATTCTTTACCTTTAATTCTTCATACAATTTACCACATGTTTTGAATTCAATTCTTTTAATTATATTCTCATTTATTGTCGAGAAATTTAAACATTTATTAAATTTAATAGTTTTTGAATTGAATTGAAATTTATTACAAAATAAAACACATTTAAATGAATTCATTATTATGAGACGCGCATGCGCTGTGATATAAGCACACCAGCAGATCATTCTCTCGACTTCCCTTTCCTATCGCTAGTCTGAGTCTAACCGTCAAACCTAACGACTCTCCGCTTAGTCGCCATTTTAGGGCTCAATTTGTATTACTTTTTAACGTTTTTTATCTTAGTTTTTACCGAAACTCGAATTTGTATTAATTGTTTGTAACGTTTTATCGAATAATAAACACGATTTACCGAATAATTCATACGAAAACCCGATTACTTGAGACATTCGTCTCAATTAATTAAAAAAAACCACAAGAAGTTTACAAAACAATGTGAGAAAGAATTAATTTAGGCGTTCATTCAATCATGAAATTCATGTTAATTTATGAATGAATGAAACGATTGATTCAAATATTTTATTTATTTACACATTGAATGACGAAATCATATGTTTTGAAGGCTTTCCCTTTAAATGAATGGCAGCACTACTGATGACAATCTCAAGTCAATAAAGTTTTTACTCACTTAAACTTTTTAGTAAAACCGATCTCAAATGTACTTTAAATTGTACTTTCATATACAACATCATAATTATTATTGCATCAATTTTAACAACCATTTAATCATTTGTTTTAAACTATTTATTTTAAAAACACATTTTAGTTAAAATATAAAATTAATTTCCTGATAATCCAAATTATAAATAATTAATACATAATTAATTATAATTATATTAATTTTACAATACATTCAATTTATTAAACCTAACCCTAGGATAACAGATCTTTAATGACATGTTTATTCACAATATCACTGAACTTATTGTGAGTGAAATGTCCACCGGTTTTAAAAGTTAAAACTTTTGACAAAATCTTATCATCATTTTGTGGTCTACTTTGTGGTGTATTCTCATCGGTAAAACGGACAAAATCTCTTTCATTAGCGCCTATATCTCGTACCAAATCGTAAAAATTACTTTTTTGAATCAGTTTATCCCTCTCTCCGTACACCACAAGAGTCGGAATCTTGTGATTCTTTAAATACTCTAATCTCTTATGAAGTTTATGTGGATCTAAACGTGAGAACAGCCATAACATCAACACCTCATCCACCGATTCAAATCTCATTGGATAACCAAATCGATGGGCGATTAGATCGGGTCTCAAGACGTCCATCAGTTTAATTCCGATCTTGTTTTCCGTAAAATAAGCTAAGTTTCGACTCAAACGGAAGAATAATTTTGTGACCCATAGAGGCTGTGGACAAAACAGACCAATTGATCCAATCTTCAGATCTTCGGGCTTAAAATTTTATTAATAAATCATTTATTAATTTAATACAAAAATATATTTAAAAAGTTGTCAAATGAAAGAAATGTAATACTTTGGACCAAATCTTAGCGATTGGATGAATACCAGCGGAATGACTGATAAGGCAATCAATTTTTGAAACATTAATGGCTTTCAAGAAGTCTCGTATGAATTGTGATCTTTCATTGTTTGAGTGCCAGAAAGCCATTGACTGTCGGGTGAGACTAAACTCAGGCATATTTGGCGAAATCACACGAACTGAAGACTCTTTGCCACCGAAAGACTCAAACAAACCGCTGAAGTGTTCGTAATTCCCGGGCATACCGTGGATGGCGACTATTGTCTTCACATTACTATTGTTTAGGACTTTTTTATCGCCAAAAGTGTCCACATATTCAACACTCACTGGCAGTCCATTCGTTGGACTCTTTCGATAAAGTCTTGGGTTCTTTGCCTTCAATTCTTCATACAATTTACCACATGTTTTGAATTCAATTCTTTTAATTATATTCTCACTAATTGTATATTTATAACACTTTTGAATAAATTTATTCAAACTATTAGTTTGTTTAACAAATAAAACACTTTTAGAAATCATGTTTAAAAGCGACAAAAAGTTTTCCTCAAAAACGATATTCAATGAAATTTTAACAAAATTGACACTAATTTCCGATTAAATATAGCAATCATATGAGTGTTGCGCTCATAAGCATTGCATTCACTGTTATATTTGATAATCTCTTTAATTAATGCGTTAATAACCTATGGATTGAGTCAATTATATCGTAAATTCAATCTTCATTACAATTGACGGCATTTAAACCGACTCTCAATTCCCAATAGTATATCAATTATTCAATCATAAGTTCCCAACACTTTATGCACTCAAATACAGCACTATTTAAAAACATAGTATTTTTCTAATCAATGAACTTGTTAAATTAAACACTTAAAAACAATACTGGTCAAACAACACTCATATGGCAATTGACCTAGGTGCTTACAATTGGATGAGTTCAAAGTTCAACTCGTGATTGGATTCCGGAGTTGACGCGAATGAGTGGTGAAGAGTGCGAGTCGTGAATGAATGTGTAAAACACGCGTCCATTCAATAGAGTAGCGATGGATTGGACGCCGCCTTACGATCGTTGGCACCAATGAGTGGACACTTGAGTCGTGCACTCAATGCAGTCATCAATGCATACCATCACTGGATGTGACAATTGCTGAACACATCAATCATTAGTCGGTTTGTTGTTGTGATGAAATGCAAACACTTTTCTCAACATTGCGTTATTCATTGCATTTGTGGACGTATTTAATTCCAGAAGTTTGAGATTTTATGCACTTTTTAACAACACTTGACGTCCGATATATACACCACTTATAGTCCCCTTCAATGTTAACTCTATGGCCAAATGTGAGACCCCTTTACACAACGTTTGCTATTATAGTCCCAATTGTTGTCAAATAAGGCAAACCTTACTCTCATTTTGTGTTGAATNTTAATTCAATTAAATCTAAACCCGATTTACAGACCGTTTGACTCCTAAACAGGTATTGATTTTACATTTACTTTTGTTTTGCTAAACATTTAATTATAATTTCAATCAAATCTACAATAAATTAAAATAAAATTTTAAAAAATAATTTTGACCACAATTTTGAGTGAATGAAAGACACGAAGGAATTGACAATTGATTTGTAAATTAATTGTTTAATTAACAGATAATTAATGAAATGATTATTCAATACAAGAGTTTACACACGAATACCCCTCGGCTTAAAAAAGTTTGCATAAGTTTGAAGTTTTTTTGCATTAATTGCATTCAAATCGTGTATTCAATGGGAATTTGGGATCAATTCTTGAGACAATTGTGAAGAGATATTGAATGAATAAATGACTTAATCATCTGATTTGGAAATAAATGATAATTTTATGTCTAATTTTGCAGATAATTGAATGTTTAGTTGAGCGCCAAGTGTTGGATCAGGTGTCGATTGGGTGTGTCATCTGGTATTAGTGATGTCTTTGCCGTCCTCGGGAGTGATGCACGCCACTCATGTCGATGAGTTCATATTCAACTGCTGTGTCTCGTCGATGATCGCCGACGAGGGGACGGACACGTCTGGGGCCGAGTGGTCGTCGTCCTCGTCAGCGGCGGCGGCGATGAATGTGTTCTCCATCGACGAGAATAAGATCCGCGACGGGAATGGCATCATATTTGCCGAAGCGATCACTTGCTATAAGTGTACGTTTTGCGGCAAAATGTTCGCCGCTATGGAAGTGGTTCTCACACACTATCAGTCAAACCATAGATGTTCTGTCATTCCTCTCCTTAAAGGTAATGCACTTTTGTGTCACTTCTTCTCCGCTTAATATTCATATCTGTTTGTCTTTTATGTCAAAAGGTTTATCAAAACTATCGACACCTAAACTCAAAGCACCGAAATATAACTTCTCAAATAGGAGTCAATCGCCGCAAACCAGTGCTTCAAAAGTTATTAAAACTAAAAAAATCTTTAAAACTCCGGAACCATTGAAAGCGAAAGTCAACGCAAAGAGTGATCTGGAAAATAGCGGATCCAATAAATTGACAGAAAGTGCAGCAAAAAATTTAAGACATTTGAGGGAAAGCACTAAAAATGTCACTTTAGGTGATATAATAACCAAAAAGGGTTATAATAAACGTTCATTCAAATGCCATTTCCGAGGTTTGCATACAATTAACGGCACAATTATTACGAAATTAATTGATTGTTATTTGCAATGAAAGGCTGTTCTCTTGGATTCATAAAGAAAGCCTATTTAGAGAGTCACCTGAAGTCGCATAAGAAGATGAAGTCCTATAAGTGTGAATGGAGTGACTGTCAGTTCAAATGCTCGGATTTGGCCGGTTTTGAGTTCCACAAGAAGAGCCATTCGGGTGACAATCCATACAAGTGCTGTTGGCCCGGATGTGACCACTCGTTCGCCGATTCCACCGCCAAAGATGAACACATGCAGAGCCAACACATATGGCCGGTTTTGAGTTCCACAAGAAGAGCCATTCGGGTGACAATCCATACAAGTGCTGTTGGCCCGGATGTGACCACTCGTTCGCCGATTCCACCGCCAAAGATGAACACATGCAGAGCCAACACATCGGCGATCGCATTCTTGAGTGCGATTACGCCGGATGTGGCGCTAAATTCAAATTAGCCGTCGATAGAGACCGACATAAGTACGGAATAACTTATTCCACAATTGTTTGGATTATATAACGAGAGTTTTGCTATATTTTACAGACAAATTCATTCGGGAAAGAAGATCTCAGCGCCGCCTAAACTCGTAAACGGTGTTGCAGTGAGAGGTCGCGGCCGTCCGCCCATTAAAAGGAAGACATACATCGAAATCAGTTCTTCCAGTGAGTCATCGGATGAAGAAAGTGAAGACGAAGAGGAAGAAGAAGGCGATGAAGCAGTGGTGGACACCAATAAAAAGGACAAAAGTGTTAATCAAGATATTGATGGCGATATGAAATGCGAACCATTAGATCTCTCGAAGACAGGCTCTAAACTAAGTACTGAGACAAACAAACCGTTGGAAACAAAGAGCAAAACGCCATCAAAAAGGGGTCGAAAACGTAAAGAGGAATCAGTCTCTGAGAAGAAGGTATCGGTGCATGTCTTCAGATGTGATTATCCCGGATGTCGGAAGACATTCACGGTATCCGATCTCCTAAAGGATCACGAGAGGGACGCCCACAACACCCCTGACATCGATGGCCGCTCACGATATGGACGCCGTTGTAAAGGAAATCTTTATTATAAAATCTAATGATTTTTAAATTTTAAATTTAAAAATGAAATATTTAGAGTAATATAATATTAACTGTTAATTCTATTTACATATTATATTATAATATACTTTACCTAAACTACTGTATAATTGCACTATTAATTTGAATGTTATTAATTCAAATTCATTTTTAAATGCATTCTGTAATTGTTTTAATGTTTTGTGTTTTTCATATAATTACATACAATGTATACTAAAATGCATTTGTGTTATGATTTAATTTAAAAATAAAATAATTATTAATTTAAAATTGGTTAAATTGAATATTTATTAAACACTAGTTATAAGTACCGGTAGTTTTTAGATTGTTTTCAAATATCAAATTGTTAATCAATTTAATTCACATTAATTCTTTGCTAATTACTGTATTAGTACAGGTAGTAAAAATTATAAATATAATTCTATTATAAAAATACATATATTTTAACATTTTATATAAACAATTTTCTCTAAAAATCATTATATTAATTCAAAATCACAAACAATAAAATAATATTAATTTCCATATAAAGGACAATATAAAAACATAAGAAACTTAAAATGCTTTTGCAATAACTTTACGCTTTCTCTCATCGATAAGCTTTTGGGACACCTTTTTGCGGTCATAAGCCTGTCCTAGAAGTGCCATCACATCTATAAACATTGTGGTGATGTTTAGACGCCAACCCATTTCACTCGTCGAGTAGTCAAATGGGAACTCGTGGTGATAATTATGGAACCCTTTGGACATGAGTTAATCAATTCAATTATTAATGAGAATCTAATCATCAATTGATTGCATACCCTCTCCAAAGGCACCGAACGATACGAATAGGTTTTCTCGCGCCTCTATTCTAGGATTATATCTGTTATGCAATACATTTCAATTAAAAATCAATTTATATTAATTGTTAGCTTTCTTACGGTTTGCTTCCAAACATATGGGCCGCAGAATTAACAAACCAAGTGCTGTCAATGGATTCATTACATCAACTAATTAATTGTCATCAAAATCAAAGTTATAAATGTAATACCAGTGCAAAGACGTGCAGTATCTTAAGACGGCCACAACCATCGCATTCCACACGCTTTCTGACCACAAGTAAATGGGAATAATAATTGGCAAAACAATCACTAATGTTATGTAAAGTAAAGTATAATATCTGTTGAAAGAAAACATTAATTATAAAACAAATTACAAAAATCCTTTATTCAAACAATACTTCTTCTGGAACTTCACAACGGGATCATTGAGTATATCAGAGCAGTCGAGTTGTTTGCCTTTCGCGATAACGTCCGGATGTTTTCGCGTCAAAAGCCAACCGACGTGTGCGAAGAAGAAGCCCCGCCGAGAGTTGTGCGGATCGGCGTCCGTCTCGGCGTACTTGTGGTGCACCCGATGGTCGCGACACCACTCGTGCAGATCATTCTTCACGTAGTATTCAATTGCATTTATTAACTCATATCTTATGTTAAATACATTGTTTTAAATACCTGTCCGGCGATTGTGTGAAATATCATCAAAACTATTCTGAATGGTAGCCGTGCTTTGTATGAACGATGTGACCATAATCTGTGCGCACCGGCCGTCACTCCCAGACCTATCAGGGATTCAATTTATATAATGTCTATCTTATTTAATGTCAATAGTAATAGTCAAACCTCCAGCCATTCCGTACCAAAACGCTAATTCAATAAATAAATTATTAGTCAAATTAAAAGTAATGAGTTTACATGTGGTAAGAATGAAATCAAATATAGATGTGTTACCAAAAATCCAAGTAATCCAACACTTATTGACGAGAGAGTGATAAATACTATACAAATAGAAAATATTTAACACGAAGAATAAGAAGACATTTCTCCAGACAATAGCTCTTCCACTCGTGTTATAGATATAGCGGACGTTTAGCTTATCATACAATACAATATATGAGTTGATTTGACTCATTTTAAAAGTGATTTAATTTTATTGCTATTTATAAATTTTAATAAAATTATTGTTAAGAATATTCTGTTGGCTTTATTAAAATATATTATCTAAAACTTAAACAATTAACTAAAATAACACGAACAGCACTAAAAACACATTTAAATGCTATTTTATTAAATAATTGACATTTACTTCTCATTTACTCAAATAAAAAAATAACTTAAGGTTTTGTATAATTAATAATTATAAGTAATTACTAATTAGTCAATAATATATACATATATAGTCAACGGTTATCTTAAAACTTAGCAAATCTCTCACGCGATCAGAGATTAGGGATAAAAAGGTCGACAGATTTGATGCCTTAAAAACTGATTTTTATCTAAATTTTAGAAACTTTTTGTGAACTTTATTATTAACTTTTTGAATATTCATTGATTTCATAATAACTAACTAAATGTAAACTTTTTCAAAGCGCAAGAATTTGTCCGAAAGTATGAATTGAGTGTTCAGTGAATGCCATCTATTGTTCACTCATTTGAGTCATTCATTTCATGCGAAAGTGTTTTGAGTTTTGAAAACACAAGAAATCATTTGAAAATCGTTTGAATTATTAAATTATATGTGATTTCAATTCAAA